CTATTATAACATCTCAAGTTTAACATGCCCCCTGTACTTGTTAACACTTCCCCCAGCCTATTCCTCCTACTGCTTTTCCATCTCAGTTAATGCCTAAGTCTTTCTCAAATGATGGCTGTTATATTCTACTAGGTGTTCAGGCCTCGAGTCATCATTGATTTTTATCCCATGTCCTCTAAAACCCACTATTTGGCCCCCAGTTCTCTTTTTAAGTTCCCCTTCCATTACTCTTCTCCTCTTTCATTCAGTTCTAGCCACCATAATCTTCTAGCCAAGGTAAGGTGTTCTTCACTCTCATATCAGACCTTTATACTTAAAGATCTCCACATGGAAATCTTACATATAGACATCAGCATTCTCTTCCTCATTTCCATTAAGGTGCTTACTCAATATTGATTCTGCCTTAGAAATTATCATTATTGTGATTTTTGTTAAATATTTTATTAACTATTATCCATGACTTTTATTATCCATATTTTATTAACTATAATTTTTATTCATTCATCACATTGCATATCTCCTCCAGTAGAATGCAAGCTCTATGATAACAGGAATTTTTATTTTGTTCACTGGTGTACTCATAGCACCTAGAAGAGCACCCATTATGTGATGAATGGATGACTGAATAATGGAAAAAGAAAGGCAGCTGTGGGCATAAAAAAAAGCCTATGGGCATCACTGGTCTTTTCCAACTAGGTATATAGTCTTTAGTATCCTTAGAGAGATTAAAGAAAATAATTTTTCCTGATATAAGAACAAAATATAAAGAAAGCAACAATCAAAAAAGAAAGATCTTTTGAAATTAGAAATATGACTGCTGTAATTTTTTAATCAATTGAAGGAAAAGAAGGCAAAGAAATTTCATAGAACAAAAAAGAAAAAGATGGGAGAAAGGGAGATAACAGAAGCAGAGAACCAATTACAGAAGGTAGGATGGGGAGAACAAGAAGAGAAAATCATCAAAGAAATAATTTTTTAAATTTCTCTAAGCTAAAGAAGAGTCTTTAAATTGACAGCACCCATCAAATACCAAGTAGTGTTAAGGAAAAAAGACCCAAAGCTTACCACATTATTATAAAATTGTTGGAACAGGAAAAATCAAAAGAAGACATCATTTTTATTGAGGAAAAAATTTTAAGAAAAAAAGCAAAGAACAAAAAGCAGACTTCTATCTGCCACCCCAAATTAATCAATGCTGTATTTTTAGATCTTTAAATATTTTCCTAAGATATGAAAACATACAGACAAATGTGATGCCCCAGATTTCCCTTTCCAAATTGCACCATCCATAGTTCTAAAGGAAAATGATTTTGAACCTAGAATTCCACATATAGATAAATTATTAACCAAACATGAGGGTATCATAAAGTCACTTTCAAACAGGCAAGGATTCAGAAGTTTTAGGAAACTAAAATGTGACTTTATTCTGAACTACTGGTATACTACAATGTTAGGAATTTTTTTCCTTTGGATGGTGCAAGGGTTAACACTGAAACTATGGATAAGGAAATACAATTAGAAAACACTACTCATCTCTACATTGAAAACTATTGTATACAGAACAATTAAAAACCAATTTGGTTAAAAGAGGCCTTCAAAAAGTGGGATTTAATAATATATATTCATATATTCCTTTTGATTAAAAATGTAACATGACAGAAAAAAATGAAGGCGAAGGTTACTAAGACAGGGAGGGAAAAGTGTGATCAGAAACAGGATATTTATATAGTCTCAAATCAACTGCTCACAAATTCTTTATTAACTGCCAAGGGGACAAATCTGGCAGACCACACTTTAAGTCATCAGAATGAGTCAACATGGACCATGTAGTTTCAACAGAAGCAAAGTAAAACAGAAAAGTGTTAACAAATAGAAGGAAAGAGAATAAGAGATAAAAAGTTTCAGTGAGGATGAAGAATAGATGGATAATACTCTGCTATCCCCTTACGTGTAGAAAAGTTTCCATTTTCATCCTTATTCTCACTTTCGACTCATCAAACATCTTTCACGCTTTCAGTCACTTATGTTAACAACCCTCAAATTACTTGTTTCCAATCACAATGAGGTATCACCTCACACCAGTTAGAATGGCCAGAAAGAAAGAACAAGTGTTGGTGAGGATGTGAAGAGAAGGGAACCCTCCTATACTGTTGGTGGGAAAGTCAGTTGATGCAGCCACTATGGAAAGCAGCATGGAGGTTCCACAAAAAACTAAAAACAGAAATACCAATTGATCCAGTAATTCCACTTTCATGAATTTACCTGAAAAAAACAAAATCTCTGATTTGAAATTATATATATATATATATATATGCACCCCTATGTTTATTACGCCAAGATGTAGAAGCAACCTAAGTGTCCATCAACAGATGAATGGATAAAGAAGATGTGGTACCTATGCACAATGGACTATTATTCAGCCATAAAAAGAAGGAAATCCTGCCACTTGCAACAACATGGATGGACCTACAGGGAATTATGCTGAGCAAAATAAACCAAATGGAGGACAAATACCATATGATTTCATGTATTTGTGGAATCTAACAATAAAACAAAACAAAATAAACAAAATAGCAGTAGACTCACTGACACTAAGAAGCTACTGGTGTCATGGGAGAGGACAGATTGGGGTGTGTGGGTGGAGAGGGTGAGAGGGATAAAGGGACACAAAAAGTCTCAGTCATAATATAAGTTGCACGGGACAGTAACACAACATGGAGATAACAGTCAAAGACTGTAACATCTTCCTATGTTGACAGATAGTAGCTGCACTAGAGGGGGTGAGGGGTGAGGATTTAATAATATGAGTAACTGTTGGACCACAGTGTTGAATATTTGAAACCAATGTATGATTGGATACCAATGATACTTCAGTAAAAAATAATAATAATAATCACCTTAACTTGCTAGGCCTCACTATACCACCACAGATAAAGATATATTTTGTGAGAATGCATGTATACAGCCTAAGTGATAGCATTCATAAACTATAATGAAAGAGATAGAAACCAAAAAAATAAATAAATTACTTGTTTCCAGACTTAAATTCTTTTCTAAATTTCAGTCATATTTCCCAAATGCCAACTAGACATCTTAAACCCATATTTATGCAGACTCTTCACATTTATTCTATCAAAAATCACTCTCTTCATCTTCCTCTCTAATCCAGCATTCCACTGGCATTTCTCTTTCTTAGCTAGTAAAATTCATATATATAACCATCATCCAAAAGAGAAACCTCAGATATCTTCAATTACTCTCTCTCCTTCACCCCATACCCCGTTCAGTTCTATTTCAATGTTTTAAAATATTGTCAAATATCTACCATGTTATCTACTATATATACTATATATCTTAGTAGATGCCAGGAAAGAAAAAAATTATTGACACAAATCCTCTAATTTTCTCACCAAAACATGATTCAAATTAAGTCTACCTTGTCCATTCCCAGTGCCATAGCCTTTGTATAGGCCTTCATTACCTCCTGCATGTTCTAACTAATCTCCATATCCCCAGTCACTCCTCTTCCCTCAAATCTCACAATGGAATTCATTTTTCTTTTTTTAAATCTCAAATTTGTTCATTTCACCACCCTCTTAAAGCTATCAATAACATAATTAATGTAAAAGCCAAACTTAAAACTCTTGGTCAATGACTACAGTGTTTTTCTATCATATTTAATAGCAAGTGTCACTTTAACATATGAAAGGTTTTAAAATACAGATTTTTTTGATAATTTATTTTTATTCAGAAAGATAAAGACTTACAATACCATTTATAGAGAAAGTAATTTGCATTTTATGTACTCAATGTCTCTATTTATAAAATCAAACCCAAATCTTAAAATCTAAGTTTTGACCATTAACAGTTACAGAAAATGGACTATCTGAGCAAATTCTTATATCCACCTATAGTGAAAATTTTTCTCCACTGTGTGGTTCTTGATACTCCTTTCAAATTTAGAACATACTTAAATCCAACTCTAATTATATAGGTTTTTTATATTGAAGTAGGAATGAGGATATGGATATGAGAGAATAAGGTAGAAAAATGGTTTCTGAAAATGTGACTTGAACATGAAAACATATGTACTCTTTTATACAAATAAGGCTTTAATGGAACATCTATATTAGCCTGAACAGGATAAAAGCAGTACAAGAAGTGTGGGACTATACTCTGTTCTGCAACCATTAGTATATGCAACCTTGAACTATATATTTACCATTAGACTAGAATGGACTCAAATGCCCAGCATAGACCTACACTCCTGAAATCCATTTTCTAAGTAAAGTAAGATTTATTGTCATTCTTCAGATAAATGTGGGGAAAAATGATTTCATGAAGACATTAGTATAAAAGATTTTGCTTCAAGAACTTATAACAAGTAGGTTATACATAACTTTAAGCTGTGTTGCCTATTAGAAGAAGATACTACAGAAAGAAGCCTAAAGAGGCAGTGTTGTGGTTCCCTTCGGTAATATACACATACCCTGAACTCTTCCCCAATGACTGAGTTTTGTTTATGCATAAAAAAAAGTTAACTTGAATAGAAAAACTTAAATCTAAAAGGAAACCTAAGGTTTCATTCATTCTCCTACTATATCAAAATCACTCTCTTCATCTTCCTCTCCAATTCAGCATTCCACTGGCACACTCTTTAACTAGTAAAATTCATACACACCCTCACCCAAAAGAGAAACCTCAGCCATCTTCAATTGTTTTCTCTCCTTCATTCCCATTCAATTCTATTTCAGTGTTTTAAAAGAGTACCAAATATCTACTATGTACTTCTAATACAGTGTTTTTAAAATTGTTCTTACTTTGAAAAGTCAATGCAAAAATTATCAAAAAGGCAAAGGAAGCAGAAATTTTTAAAAATTTAGACTGTTACCTTCCCTACTTAAACCACCCGTATATATGTATTTTTTTTTCTGAGGAAAGACATTTACATTGTGAACTTATTTCCCCATTAGAAATTTAAAGTTATAACATCTACTTACCAAACCAATACAGTTGCTTAAAGCCACTTTAGTTGTACTATGTTGATCTTGCAAGTATCCTGTATAATGGCAGTTGTCTAAAAAATCATGTTTCCACTGGGGTCCATCTTTCCCCCAATATTCTACTGTAAAGTGTTTGGACACAAAATCTGTGTTGAGAGTCAAGTTTAGGTGAAAGTGCTTTCCATAGGCTGAAAGTTTAAAGAATAACTTAGATACTGCCTGCTGTGGATCGATAGGGTCCATACTCCGTCTTCTTCTGGAGTGTTTATCATTTTTCACAGTAAAGCTGAGAAAAGCTCCATTTTGATCAACCCTTATTGGAATAGTTAGCTGGTAATGTTCTAGATAATTCAGGAATTCCTCTTTGTAATCACAAGGCAGAGAATCCAGAAAAAAACACACAAAAGAAAAGAAGGTTTAACAGAACAAAGAAGTAGCAGTGTAAAAAACAACTATATCAGTTAAAATATGCATCATTATATGTGAGACATGGACAAAAAAATGTTTTATCAAGCAAAAATGAAAGTAAAAGTTTAAAAATCTAAAGATGAATTAAGTTACAATCATTTCATTCCTCAAAACATTATTTTAAAATTATTTTTGAAAGACTTTTCTTCTTTAAATTTAATTTTAAAAACATGGTTCTGAGAGCAAAATTCTATAGGAAATATAAATATTTTACATTGAAACAAAAATCAGTGAAAAGTACACATTTGTAAAACAATAGAATTTAGCTCAGATAAAGTATGTTTGTGAAAGTTATACAGAGTTTATATAGAATATCTATAGCCTTATAGAAACTTCTTTTTTAAATCATCAGTTGGAATGTAAAATACTGCAGCTACTTTGGGAAACAGTGGAACTACATCTGACCCAGCAATTCTAAAAGCAAATATCCACACAAAAGCCCATACATGAATGTTCATAGCAGCATTATTCATAATAGCCTAAAAGGAGAAATAACCATAAATGTCCATCAGCTGATGAATAGATAAATAAAATGTGGTATATTCACACAATGGACTATTATTCTGCAATAAAAAGGAATGCTGTTACATGTATGTACTGATACATGCTGTTACATGAATAAACTGAATAATAATCACCTTCATAATCAAAGTTATCATCTAACATTATAAAAACATTATGTTAAAGGCAAGGGACCAGTCAAAAGTCCACATATTATATGATTCCATTTATATGAAATATCCAGAATGGGCAAATCTCTAGAGACAGAAGTAGGTTAGAAGTTGCCTAGAGATGGGGTGGAGGGCATCTTGGAGGGAATTTGGGAGTGACTGCTAATGGGCACAGGGTTTCTTTTTGGGGCAATTAACATGTTTTAAAACTGTGGTAATGGTTGTACAACCCTGTAAAAATACTGTGGACCCCTGAATTGTATATTTTAAATGGGTAAATTATATGGTATGTATATTATATCTCAATAAAACTGTTAAAAAATCATCAGATTGGCAAAAATTTCAGAGGACTATTAAATATAGTTTCCTCACTTAGGTGTACTAAATATTAGCAATCTATCTTCTTAACCACATATTCCTTTAGTTAGGCTTACCACTAATGGAAACGAAATGTCTGCCCATCGTCTCACTGTTTATACATGGAACTCATCCACAAATATAAACTCCCATGAAACCATGACCAAATGGAAATAAATTGAAAGACATAATTTCACTTCTTATAAATAAGAGTTCATACTAAATTCTATGGCTTTGTTGGTCTACTTTGAGAGCCACACCTTGTACATATGGACTTCTGAACATAAACCTCAATCTACAACTTGAAAATCTGGCTCATCAGCATCAAAAAATGATGTTACTTTACATTCATGGGAGGGGAATCCAAAAGATATGCTTTCAATAATTCCATAAGGAGTGGACTGATAGATGGAAAACAAAATGACATTCACTCCTGGGATCTCTATTAGGATCTTTTTTATTATGTAAAGCTCAATTCCATGTACTAAAATTATAGGGACCTATGGACTTAGTTTGAAAAAGTGAACTTCTTACAACTTTTACTCTTTTATCCAGGTTCTAGACCTTAGATCAGAATTCTTTAGTTTGGAAAAACATTTTTTCACCAAGGACCCATATTAGAAGGATCTTGTATCAGAATTTGGTTTCTTGCTCTTTTATAGTATAAAATCTTAGATTCCTTTTGAACATGACCTTGCCTGTAAACCATAGCAATGAATGAGCCTACTGAAGTTTAGGATTTAGAGGAAGAAAAGAAGCCTGGGTCTGTCATCTAAGAAAGACCAGTCAACTCTAAAACCCACTGGATGTCAAATACTAGTAGTGTGGATTAAACAGACTTTTAGCGCCTTTAACATTTACGAAACTAGCACTGAATTGACAATATAGACCTCCCCTCTTATCACTACTTATACCAAAGAAAATGTTCACCCAAGGCAAATATTCAGAATCTTTTTTTCTGATTAATAGCAATAATTTCTGTCAGTTTCAAAAGCAGGAATCATACCTTGTGAACTGTATGAAAGCCTATGGTCACTACGAAATTCCGATGAAGCCATGAAGAGGCTCAAAATCCAGGTCAACGTCTTCCACAAAATTTCCATAATTTAGAAAACTGGATGATTTTTTGGAGGGCTACCTATGTGCTAGAGAGTCAATACCATACCAAAATCGAAGCATAACAATTCTATTTCTTTAAAACTTCTTGCAAATTAGTTATTAGATGTTCCACTGTTTAGCAGGTACTTTTTTCCAACATCCCATACTTTCTTCTAAATGTGGATTCATTTTCTCAATCCAAAATGAAAAAAAAATGATGGAAATTTTTTCATAAGCAAAGCATTAGGCTGATTAGCTACTGAAGTATGGCCATTTTTTAACCTAGAAAAAAAAATATTTAAGTTAACTGAAAAGTATCCTGAATGGGCCGATTTATATTGCTGAAAGCTTATCAAAGGATGCTGTACTACAAAATAACTTAATATAGTTAAGTTAGACCATTGTTGTTCTTTGTAGTCTAAATAAACATTCACAAGACTAAACACAGAATTAAAACCTAAATGGTTAGCAGGTTAGTGCCAGAGCTACTTAATAATCAGAAGGAATATGAAGAGGAATCATAAACATTTTTTAAACTTTGAACATAACAATGTGTGGGTACAGTGACTACACTCCTTTTAAAAAAATTAAACATAGACCAACTTCACAAAGTTCATTTCATCTAAGTGATAAACAGCACTTTATGTAAGTGATACCATTCCTTAACATGCTTTTTAGCATGCTCATATCCAGAGACTGATTTGGTGTTTTATGAGGCACCTATCATTTTTTTCTTATAGAGTAGACCTACACATACAGTGATACTTAGCAGCTGTCTGTGAACACTTAGCAGCAGAAACTAAACTTCAATGAAGTTGAACCATATTTACTGCCACCCTTGATGTATAAGACTTAGAAGTCTTATATGGCTTATAAAGCAAACATATAAGACAACTTCAGCTACCTAGAACATAACTAAAAAGAAAATATTCATTTTCTGAAAAGAAGAGAATATTTAAAAATTCATTTCAGGTCAAAACAGATTCTCTATCATATCTCATGTACTTTCCCTTTGACTTACCACCTCACTCAGAGTTCATGAACTCACATTGTATATAGAACAGTAGTATATTTGGCTTTCTGATTTCCCACCACATACCACTTTAGAAGAAAATAACAGAGGGACTAGAAACTAGCTCACTAACAGCACAAAGTGACAAAAAGGGGGAAAAACTGAAGAGTAGCTTCAAAAGCCTAAAGTAGTACAGTTTGGGATAGAGACAAATGGTCCTACAGTTTAACAGTTCCTAGTGTGAATATGCCTATGTTATAGCTCAATATCACATATTCAAAATACTATGTCCAAATCAGGATAAAATAAATCACTTTTAATAAGATAACAAATTGTTAAGATAGAGAAGTACACAAAAAATACTAAAAAAAGATTTTTCCCCAAGTCCCTAATACATGGGATTATCACATAATTAATGCTTACATATCTGTTGGTTGAAAAAGATGAATGAGTAAATGAATATATAAGTAGCGGTTAAAGTAAATTAACTTTAGGCATATAAAAGGATATTTGTAGTTAACTGGAAAATTAACTTATGTGGAATACTTCATTCCCTGTGGTGCTAGAAATATTGGTTATTACAGCATATAAAACAACCACAACCATTTAAAACTCCTCATGTCTGTCTCTACAAGTTATTAAACTGCTAAACCCTAGAAAAATTAATTTGTTAATCAACAAATATTGTTTAAAATGATGTTATAACAACATGGGATACAGAAAAGATTAATAAGACACAATCCATGCCCTTCAGGAGCTCACAATTTAAGTAACAAAGAATTGAAGGTAGACTGACAGATAACATATAAAGTGATGAAAGGTGTTGCAGGAGGTCAGATGAGGAAGATGACTTGTGAGTCAGAGAATGATGGGTCAGGGAGAGTTTATGAAAAACGTAGACTTTGAGATAGGCTCTGTATGATAAGCAGAAGTTCACAGGTCAGTTTACCAGGGCAATCATTGCAAATTAAAGAAATAAGTTCCATGGAGTCTAAATGGCAAAAAGACATGGAAAATATTAGTAGTAATAGTAATAATAAATTTGGTTCCTATGCAGAAGACTAACAGGTAATATTGGAAAGGTATCTTCCCATGAAATATTAAAGTGTAATTGTTGCTTCATGAACAATTCACTCTTTGGTGTTTTTTTAGATGACTTGAGTGTTTTGCATAATAATGTCTGACACTGAGTCCCACATTACACTTTAAAGTAATCTTCCTTTAAAGAGAAATATATAATTAATACATATGAGTCAATTTTCTATTTGTGGTGATAGATTTGAATGAATCATTCATCCATTTTTTTCCTATTTTCCTGGGCTCTGAAACTCATAACAAACTTATAATACAGTTAGCTAGATTTACAGAACCCACTGTTTCCCCCTTTAGAAATTTCCTGCTCTTCACAATTTTGTAACCTCCACTCTTACCATCACTAGCACTGTCCTGAAAACACCCTATTTAAGTAAGCTAACACTGAGAGAAAACGTACTCTGTAACTACTTGGCCAAAAATAGACTAACATTTGATTTAAGGACTTGTAGTAAAAAGGGCATTGGTACATAGTAGAAAGAGCAGGAGCTTTGAAGTTAAACAAACCAGAGCTACAATATTGGTTCCACTACTAACTAAGGTATCAGGCACCTGGGCACTTCATAAATTTAGTTTCATTCTCCTTTCTCACTCACGCCCTCACTCTCCACTTCTGTTCAAGCCTCCAGGGCCAGTGAAGAAACTTAGTAGTAAGTAAATGGTTAGGCTCAAGCTCAACTAAAATCAACAACAGTCAACATACCTAACCCATCCTAGTCCCCTACACAATAAAAAGAAATGGGTTAATCTACTTTAATACCTGCTACAGAAGTTAATCCGGACATCATAAAGAAATATGTACGGGCACTAACTTTTCCACATACAGTTTCCAAAATCCAGACTAACATTAAAATATTACATGATTGTCCAGAAATCATAACACATTAACTCTTTACATCATAAAGCAGAAGATTATTATGTGGTAGAAAGCACAAAGGCTTTGAGNCCTTATTCTCACTTTCGACTCATCAAACATCTTTCACGCTTTCAGTCACTTATGTTAACAACCCTCAAATTACTTGTTTCCAATCACAATGAGGTATCACCTCACACCAGTTAGAATGGCCAGAAAGAAAGAACAAGTGTTGGTGAGGATGTGAAGAGAAGGGAACCCTCCTATACTGTTGGTGGGAAAGTCAGTTGATGCAGCCACTATGGAAAGCAGCATGGAGGTTCCACAAAAAACTAAAAACAGAAATACCAATTGATCCAGTAATTCCACTTTCATGAATTTACCTGAAAAAAACAAAATCTCTGATTTGAAATTATATATATATATATATATATGCACCCCTATGTTTATTACGCCAAGATGTAGAAGCAACCTAAGTGTCCATCAACAGATGAATGGATAAAGAAGATGTGGTACCTATGCACAATGGACTATTATTCAGCCATAAAAAGAAGGAAATCCTGCCACTTGCAACAACATGGATGGACCTACAGGGAATTATGCTGAGCAAAATAAACCAAATGGAGGACAAATACCATATGATTTCATGTATTTGTGGAATCTAACAATAAAACAAAACAAAATAAACAAAATAGCAGTAGACTCACTGACACTAAGAAGCTACTGGTGTCATGGGAGAGGACAGATTGGGGTGTGTGGGTGGAGAGGGTGAGAGGGATAAAGGGACACAAAAAGTCTCAGTCATAATATAAGTTGCACGGGACAGTAACACAACATGGAGATAACAGTCAAAGACTGTAACATCTTCCTATGTTGACAGATAGTAGCTGCACTAGAGGGGGTGAGGGGTGAGGATTTAATAATATGAGTAACTGTTGGACCACAGTGTTGAATATTTGAAACCAATGTATGATTGGATACCAATGATACTTCAGTAAAAAATAATAATAATAATCACCTTAACTTGCTAGGCCTCACTATACCACCACAGATAAAGATATATTTTGTGAGAATGCATGTATACAGCCTAAGTGATAGCATTCATAAACTATAATGAAAGAGATAGAAACCAAAAAAATAAATAAATTACTTGTTTCCAGACTTAAATTCTTTTCTAAATTTCAGTCATATTTCCCAAATGCCAACTAGACATCTTAAACCCATATTTATGCAGACTCTTCACATTTATTCTATCAAAAATCACTCTCTTCATCTTCCTCTCTAATCCAGCATTCCACTGGCATTTCTCTTTCTTAGCTAGTAAAATTCATATATATAACCATCATCCAAAAGAGAAACCTCAGATATCTTCAATTACTCTCTCTCCTTCACCCCATACCCCGTTCAGTTCTATTTCAATGTTTTAAAATATTGTCAAATATCTACCATGTTATCTACTATATATACTATATATCTTAGTAGATGCCAGGAAAGAAAAAAATTATTGACACAAATCCTCTAATTTTCTCACCAAAACATGATTCAAATTAAGTCTACCTTGTCCATTCCCAGTGCCATAGCCTTTGTATAGGCCTTCATTACCTCCTGCATGTTCTAACTAATCTCCATATCCCCAGTCACTCCTCTTCCCTCAAATCTCACAATGGAATTCATTTTTCTTTTTTTAAATCTCAAATTTGTTCATTTCACCACCCTCTTAAAGCTATCAATAACATAATTAATGTAAAAGCCAAACTTAAAACTCTTGGTCAATGACTACAGTGTTTTTCTATCATATTTAATAGCAAGTGTCACTTTAACATATGAAAGGTTTTAAAATACAGATTTTTTTGATAATTTATTTTTATTCAGAAAGATAAAGACTTACAATACCATTTATAGAGAAAGTAATTTGCATTTTATGTACTCAATGTCTCTATTTATAAAATCAAACCCAAATCTTAAAATCTAAGTTTTGACCATTAACAGTTACAGAAAATGGACTATCTGAGCAAATTCTTATATCCACCTATAGTGAAAATTTTTCTCCACTGTGTGGTTCTTGATACTCCTTTCAAATTTAGAACATACTTAAATCCAACTCTAATTATATAGGTTTTTTATATTGAAGTAGGAATGAGGATATGGATATGAGAGAATAAGGTAGAAAAATGGTTTCTGAAAATGTGACTTGAACATGAAAACATATGTACTCTTTTATACAAATAAGGCTTTAATGGAACATCTATATTAGCCTGAACAGGATAAAAGCAGTACAAGAAGTGTGGGACTATACTCTGTTCTGCAACCATTAGTATATGCAACCTTGAACTATATATTTACCATTAGACTAGAATGGACTCAAATGCCCAGCATAGACCTACACTCCTGAAATCCATTTTCTAAGTAAAGTAAGATTTATTGTCATTCTTCAGATAAATGTGGGGAAAAATGATTTCATGAAGACATTAGTATAAAAGATTTTGCTTCAAGAACTTATAACAAGTAGGTTATACATAACTTTAAGCTGTGTTGCCTATTAGAAGAAGATACTACAGAAAGAAGCCTAAAGAGGCAGTGTTGTGGTTCCCTTCGGTAATATACACATACCCTGAACTCTTCCCCAATGACTGAGTTTTGTTTATGCATAAAAAAAAGTTAACTTGAATAGAAAAACTTAAATCTAAAAGGAAACCTAAGGTTTCATTCATTCTCCTACTATATCAAAATCACTCTCTTCATCTTCCTCTCCAATTCAGCATTCCACTGGCACACTCTTTAACTAGTAAAATTCATACACACCCTCACCCAAAAGAGAAACCTCAGCCATCTTCAATTGTTTTCTCTCCTTCATTCCCATTCAATTCTATTTCAGTGTTTTAAAAGAGTACCAAATATCTACTATGTACTTCTAATACAGTGTTTTTAAAATTGTTCTTACTTTGAAAAGTCAATGCAAAAATTATCAAAAAGGCAAAGGAAGCAGAAATTTTTAAAAATTTAGACTGTTACCTTCCCTACTTAAACCACCCGTATATATGTATTTTTTTTTCTGAGGAAAGACATTTACATTGTGAACTTATTTCCCATTAGAAATTTAAAGTTATAACATCTACTTACCAAACCAATACAGTTGCTTAAAGCCACTTTAGTTGTACTATGTTGATCTTGCAAGTATCCTGTATAATGGCAGTTGTCTAAAAAATCATGTTTCCACTGGGGTCCATCTTTCCCCCAATATTCTACTGTAAAGTGTTTGGACACAAAATCTGTGTTGAGAGTCAAGTTTAGGTGAAAGTGCTTTCCATAGGCTGAAAGTTTAAAGAATAACTTAGATACTGCCTGCTGTGGATCGATAGGGTCCATACTCCGTCTTCTTCTGGAGTGTTTATCATTTTTCACAGTAAAGCTGAGAAAAGCTCCATTTTGATCAACCCTTATTGGAATAGTTAGCTGGTAATGTTCTAGATAATTCAGGAATTCCTCTTTGTAATCACAAGGCAGAGAATCCAGAAAAAAACACACAAAAGAAAAGAAGGTTTAACAGAACAAAGAAGTAGCAGTGTAAAAAACAACTATATCAGTTAAAATATGCATCATTATATGTGAGACATGGACAAAAAAATGTTTTATCAAGCAAAAATGAAAGTAAAAGTTTAAAAATCTAAAGATGAATTAAGTTACAATCATTTCATTCCTCAAAACATTATTTTAAAATTATTTTTGAAAGACTTTTCTTCTTTAAATTTAATTTTAAAAACATGGTTCTGAGAGCAAAATTCTATAGGAAATATAAATATTTTACATTGAAACAAAAATCAGTGAAAAGTACACATTTGTAAAACAATAGAATTTAGCTCAGATAAAGTATGTTTGTGAAAGTTATACAGAGTTTATATAGAATATCTATAGCCTTATAGAAACTTCTTTTTTAAATCATCAGTTGGAATGTAAAATACTGCAGCTACTTTGGGAAACAGTGGAACTACATCTGACCCAGCAATTCTAAAAGCAAATATCCACACAAAAGCCCATACATGAATGTTCATAGCAGCATTATTCATAATAGCCTAAAAGGAGAAATAACCATAAATGTCCATCAGCTGATGAATAGATAAATAAAATGTGGTATATTCACACAATGGACTATTATTCTGCAATAAAAAGGAATGCTGTTACATGTATGTACTGATACATGCTGTTACATGAATAAACTGAATAATAATCACCTTCATAATCAAAGTTATCATCTAACATTATAAAAACATTATGTTAAAGGCAAGGGACCAGTCAAAAGTCCACATATTATATGATTCCATTTATATGAAATATCCAGAATGGGCAAATCTCTAGAGACAGAAGTAGGTTAGAAGTTGCCTAGAGATGGGGTGGAGGGCATCTTGGAGGGAATTTGGGAGTGACTGCTAATGGGCACAGGGTTTCTTTTTGGGGCAATTAACATGTTTTAAAACTGTGGTAATGGTTGTACAACCCTGTAAAAATACTGTGGACCCCTGAATTGTATATTTTAAATGGGTAAATTATATGGTATGTATATTATATCTCAATAAAACTGTTAAAAAATCATCAGATTGGCAAAAATTTCAGAGGACTATTAAATATAGTTTCCTCACTTAGGTGTACTAAATATTAGCAATCTATCTTCTTAACCACATATTCCTTTAGTTAGGCTTACCACTAATGGAAACGAAATGTCTGCCCATTGTCTCACTGTTTATACATGGAACTCATCCACAAATATAAACTCCCATGAAACCATGACCAAATGGAAATAAATTGAAAGACATAATTTCACTTCTTATAAATAAGAGTTCATACTAAATTCTATGGCTTTGTTGGTCTACTTTGAGAGCCACACCTTGTACATATGGACTTCTGAACATAAACCTCAATCTACAACTTGAAAATCTGGCTCATCAGCATCAAAAAATGATGTTACTTTACATTCATGGGAGGGGAATCCAAAAGATATGCTTTCAATAATTCCATAAGGAGTGGACTGATAGATGGAAAACAAAATGACATTCACTCCTGGGATCTCTATTAGGATCTTTTTTATTATGTAAAGCTCAATTCCATGTACTAAAATTATAGGGACCTATGGACTTAGTTTGAAAAAGTGAACTTCTTACAACTTTTACTCTTTTATCCAGGTTCTAGACCTTAGATCAGAATTCTTTAGTTTGGAAAAACATTTTTTCACCAAGGACCCATATTAGAAGGATCTTGTATCAGAATTTGGTTTCTTGCTCTTTTATAGTATAAAATCTTAGATTCCTTTTGAACATGACCTTGCCTGTAAACCATAGCAATGAATGAGCCTACTGAAGTTTAGGATTTAGAGGAAGAAAAGAAGCCTGGGTCTGTCATCTAAGAAAGACCAGTCAACTCTAAAACCCACTGGATGTCAAATACTAGTAGTGTGGATTAAACAGACTTTTAGCGCCTTTAACATTTACGAAACTAGCACTGAATTGACAATATAGACCTCCCCTCTTATCACTACTTATACCAAAGAAAATGTTCACCCAAGGCAAATATTCAGAATCTTTTTTTCTGATTAATAGCAATAATTTCTGTCAGTTTCAAAAGCAGGAATCATACCTTGTGAACTGTATGAAAGCCTATGGTCACTACGAAATTCCGATGAAGCCATGAAGAGGCTCAAAATCCAGGTCAACGTCTTCCACAAAATTTCCATAATTTAGAAAACTGGATGATTTTTTGGAGGGCTACCTATGTGCTAGAGAGTCAATACCATACCAAAATCGAAGCATAACAATTCTATTTCTTTAAAACTTCTTGCAAATTAGTTATTAGATGTTCCACTGTTTAGCAGGTACTTTTTTCCAACATCCCATACTTTCTTCTAAATGTGGATTCATTTTCTCAATCCAAAATGAAAAAAAAATGATGGAAATTTTTTCATAAGCAAAGCATTAGGCTGATTAGCTACTGAAGTATGGCCATTTTTTAACCTAGAAAAAAAAATATTTAAGTTAACTGAAAAGTATCCTGAATGGGCCGATTTATATTGCTGAAAGCTTATCAAAGGATGCTGTACTACAAAATAACTTAATATAGTTAAGTTAGACCATTGTTGTTCTTTGTAGTCTAAATAAACATTCACAAGACTAAACACAGAATTAAAACCTAAATGGTTAGCAGGTTAGTGCCAGAGCTACTTAATAATCAGAAGGAATATGAAGAGGAATCATAAACATTTTTTAAACTTTGAACATAACAATGTGTGGGTACAGTGACTACACTCCTTTTAAAAAAATTAAACATAGACCAACTTCACAAAGTTCATTTCATCTAAGTGATAAACAGCACTTTATGTAAGTGATACCATTCCTTAACATGCTTTTTAGCATGCTCATATCCAGAGACTGATTTGGTGTTTTATGAGGCACCTATCATTTTTTTCTTATAGAGTAGACCTACACATACAGTGATACTTAGCAGCTGTCTGTGAACACTTAGCAGCAGAAACTAAACTTCAATGAAGTTGAACCATATTTACTGCCACCCTTGATGTATAAGACTTAGAAGTCTTATATGGCTTATAAAGCAAACATATAAGACAACTTCAGCTACCTAGAACATAACTAAAAAGAAAATATTCATTTTCTGAAAAGAAGAGAATATTTAAAAATTCATTTCAGGTCAAAACAGATTCTCTATCATATCTCATGTACTTTCCCTTTGACTTACCACCTCACTCAGAGTTCATGAATTCACATTGTATATAGAACAGTAGTATATTTGGCTTTCTGATTTCCCACCACATACCACTTTAGAAGAAAATAACAGAGGGACTAGAAACTAGCTCACTAACAGCACAAAGTGACAAAAAGGGGGAAAAACTGAAGAGTAGCTTCAAAAGCCTAAAGTAGTACAGTTTGGGATAGAGACAAATGGTCCTACAGTTTAACAGTTCCTAGTGTGAATATGCCTATGTTATAGCTCAATATCACATATTCAAAATACTATGTCCAAATCAGGATAAAATAAATCACTTTTAATAAGATAACAAATTGTTAAGATAGAGAAGTACACAAAAAATACTAAAAAAAGATTTTTCCCCAAGTCCCTAATACATGGGATTATCACATAATTAATGCTTACATATCTGTTGGTTGAAAAAGATGAATGAGTAAATGAATATATAAGTAGCGGTTAAAGTAAATTAACTTTAGGCATATAAAAGGATATTTGTAGTTAACTGGAAAATTAACTTATGTGGAATACTTCATTCCCTGTGGTGCTAGAAATATTGGTTATTACAGCATATAAAACAACCACAACCATTTAAAACTCCTCATGTCTGTCTCTACAAGTTATTAAACTGCTAAACCCTAGAAAAATTAATTTGTTAATCAACAAATATTGTTTAAAATGATGTTATAACAACATGGGATACAGAAAAGATTAATAAGACACAATCCATGCCCTTCAGGAGCTCACAATTTAAGTAACAAAGAATTGAAGGTAGACTGACAGATAACATATAAAGTGATGAAAGGTGTTGCAGGAGGTCAGATGAGGAAGATGACTTGTGAGTCAGAGAATGATGGGTCAGGGAGAGTTTATGAAAAACGTAGACTTTGAGATAGGCTCTGTATGATAAGCAGAAGTTCACAGGTCAGTTTACCAGGGCAATCATTGCAAATTAAAGAAATAAGTTCCATGGAGTCTAAATGGCAAAAAGACATGGAAAATATTAGTAGTAATAGTAATAATAAATTTGGTTCCTATGCAGAAGACTAACAGGTAATATTGGAAAGGTATCTTCCCATGAAATATTAAAGTGTAATTGTTGCTTCATGAACAATTCACTCTTTGGTGTTTTTTTAGATGACTTGAGTGTTTTGCATAATAATGTCTGACACTGAGTCCCACATTACACTTTAAAGTAATCTTCCTTTAAAGAGAAATATATAATTAATACATATGAGTCAATTTTCTATTTGTGGTGATAGATTTGAATGAATCATTCATCCATTTTTTTCCTATTTTCCTGGGCTCTGAAACTCATAACAAACTTATAATACAGTTAGCTAGATTTACAGAACCCACTGTTTCCCCCTTTAGAAATTTCCTGCTCTTCACAATTTTGTAACCTCCACTCTTACCATCACTAGCACTGTCCTGAAAACACCCTATTTAAGTAAGCTAACACTGAGAGAAAACGTACTCTGTAACTACTTGGCCAAAAATAGACTAACATTTGATTTAAGGACTTGTAGTAAAAAGGGCATTGGTACATAGTAGAAAGAGCAGGAGCTTTGAAGTTAAACAAACCAGAGCTACAATATTGGTTCCACTACTAACTAAGGTATCAGGCACCTGGGCACTTCATAAATTTAGTTTCATTCTCCTTTCTCACTCACGCCCTCACTCTCCACTTCTGTTCAAGCCTCCAGGGCCAGTGAAGAAACTTAGTAGTAAGTAAATGGTTAGGCTCAAGCTCAACTAAAATCAACAACAGTCAACATACCTAACCCCTCCTAGTCCCCTACACAATAAAAAGAAATGGGTTAATCTACTTTAATACCTGCTACAGAAGTTAATCCGGACATCATAAAGAAATATGTACGGGCACTAACTTTTCCACATACAGTTTCCAAAATCCAGACTAACATTAAAATATTACATGATTGTCCAGAAATCATAACACATTAACTCTTTACATCATAAAGCAGAAGATTATTATGTGGTAGAAAGCACAAAGGCTTTGAGTCCTGGCTTGACTCCAAGTTACTTAACCTCTCTGGATTTGTTCCTTACCTACAAAACCATGATAATGATATCTACCTTACAAAGACTTGTTGAGAGATTAAATTACATTACACATGATGTATAGTGTCTGCACACTTCACTTTAATGGCTAAATAAATATTAGCCCCTGCTCCTCCTTATCTTACTCATCACTTTTCAAAGACCTTCCTTCAAAAATGGTTTATTGTTCCTCCTGCCCTCAAAAATGTGGAATAGTTGGACATGATGATGGAATCAATCAACGAAGTTGTATTGTCTTTTAGACTAAACAGTAAAGAATTTAGGTCATGATAACTAGGTTGACTATCATGATAACCATTTTAAATTTGAAAAAAGAATCGAAACTTCCATCTTACTCTGACTTCACATATGTTTTTTTTTCCCTAATACAAATGCATCAGCTATTACAGCTGAGGGGTCATTTACCTGCTTCCATGCATCAAAGCTACACTAGCTAAGAACAAAGAAGATCAGACAACTTGTACTACAGTGACTCCGCCAGCAGTCTGCCCTGGCTGAAGGGGTGCTTGCTTGTCTTGTCCTCTAAAGTCTCTACTTCCCACTCAAGTGGTCTGGGAATAGTCAAGGTAATAATTTCCTCCCATGAACTATTACTATGGAGTTGAAGAGCATGTATAACACCCTTCCCAACTTCCTTCATCCATCTTAACTATGGTTATTTATTTTACGGCTGATTTGTACTTTCCAGAGGAGGCAGCAACACTATACTCCCTCCAGGTATTTAATTTTTGTATGTGGGAATTAACTTTTCACTTCACTTTTTATTTATTCTCTCAACAAATTCTTACTGTCACCTACTATAGGACACCTACCATGTCCTACTATATGCTGTCCTACTATAAGGACACCACTAGGCTCAAAGGGCAAAAGGTTTCCAGATCATTTATAAATTTTTGTGAGATTGGTTTTCAAGGAAAGATGTGATTAAACACACTCAAAAACTATCTCTCAAGAAGAGCAAATGAGCCAAAAGTGAAAATACATCATTCCATAAAAATCAAATCCTAAATTACATATAGTCCCAAACTGTTTTTTCCAGATAGCAAGACAAATATACTTAATCTGTATTGTAACCTCTCTCCTGAAAAACAGAAAGGCCTTTTCCTCCTGAAGTTAGCTCAGAATGTTGATAATCAACTATGTCTATTGGTAGAACCAAGAGAGCTATCCACCTCTTCCCCTCTTCTTCCCCCAAAGAATGTGCTATTAACTCTCTTAATATGCTAACTCTTTTTATTCTCTCACAAAGTCACACACAGGGTAACATTTGGCACAGAGGCCCATCCTAAAGCACTAGTAGCTACTAGTGGTTGCTAAGGAAATAAAGAGGAAGTGGTAAGAGTAGACAAGAGTAGAAATTAATCTTACACACATTGGCCCAGACATGAAAAGTATTAAAATATTTTAGGTCTTGGGGTTAGAGCTTTTTCCCCCCTTGAGAATCACAACATATTAACACCACAACATAGATTTCATTTGCTGCCATTTGTGGCAAATAGATGAATTTGATTTGTTTGAAATCAATGTATTTGTTTCTATATGCTATTCTACAAAAATCCAAAGCACCAAGGATCACATTTAGTGCTGAATTCATACAAACCAGAACTGCAGCTACCTCTTTGGTGAAACACAGGAAAACAATTAACTCCAAAATTAATTTTCTCAATTTCCTTCATCTACACCAGTTCTATTTACATTTCTGTCCCTGTCATGAATTTAGAGAACTGTCATTCCCACATCTAAGTTTCACTCAGACAAAATAAGCTAAAAAAGAAAGAAAGAAAGAAAAGAGAAAATTAGCCCTAGAAATTTGAATAGAAGAATATATTGAAAATCACACTCCAGGGTCTTTCTGAAAGTTCCAAGCAATGGTTGAGTTTCCCCTTTCCTCCAGACCTGCACACCCTCCACCACCACCACCCCCACCCCATCCCACTTCGCCCAGACACAGGGTGACAGTCTGAGCTGCCCTGGCTGAGTTGATCCTAAAGTTAACATTCAGCAGCCCATTTCCAGACAGCAGCGCTAAATCTATTTGGATAAAACGCGTGTGACCCAGACGGTTGGCATTTGGCCCAAACGCGTTGCACCGGCAGCTCAAATAAAAACAAGAGTAAGAAACTCACTCTCTTGTTCCCTTCTCAGTGCGCTTTCTCACTCTCGCTCTCTTTGCCTCTTGTACAAGGAAAGAAATTACCAAAGACAGTAATTGTAGTAAACTTATCAAAAGGCAGTTTTCCAATAACTCCTCCAGTACTCAACCTCCTATCATCCTTGAACTTTGATCCCATATGCCATATATACAGACATACGCCGATATTCAAGGCTCCGGAGGCTTAGGAGTCTAGCACGTCCCAAGTGGCCAAAAGTAAATCAAAAACACGTTTCCATCTCTTTGATTAGCCTATTAAGAGCTTAACATATCCTAGAGCATCGGGGCTATAGCTAACACATTAATTCTGCCCTCTGAGCCCAGGCATAAAATATGCACTTGTCTGACTACTTAAGACATTGACATGAAACTATAAAATGCAGGTTTTTCTTTAAGAAAACTGGAAATCAGCTTAAAATACACATCATTATTACCTTCCCGATCACTACTTGGTGGTTAGTTAAAAGACCACAATAATCATAATCAAGTCATACTTCACAAAACATGTCTATTTGTATAATAAACGTATATTTTTTGCATAATAAAATACTTGCAAGACCCAGAATTCTCCAACCCCCGACTAGAGTTAAAAAGATTTCTATCTGTAAAATGAGTTCAGTCAAGCTCACTCATTGCCATTTAAAAAAAACACACACACACACAGAAAAAAAAGTTTTCTACGCGTTATTCGGAAGACAAGCAAAGCACAAGTTTTAATTTTTAAAAAAACGGTTTCATTGAATATTGTGAAGTCTTCCTTACCGTTTTCATCTTCAAATTCTGATAAAAAGTAAGTTTCAAACAATAGAGATTGCACTGGACGACTCACGTACTCCCTCTCCTCTCTAAGTTTTTTTTGCTGCCCCTCTTTGCAAAGCCACAGCAGTCAGTTAGTTATTCTGCAGCCAGAATAAAACCCTATAGTCTGGTTAACCCGGGCCTTAGAGAACGGACTTTCCGATTTGGCAGCAAAAGAAATGCCTTCAATAATACATCCAGGCTATCATCCTGAGATGCTGTCTTTGCAAACCCTCTTTCTCTCTCGCCCCCCCCCCTCTCCAAAAAAAAAGGAAAGGAAAAAGAGAAAGGAAGGGGAAAAAAAGACTTATTGGGGTGGAAGTGGTGCCCTCTCTTCCTGGACAGCTTAGTGCCTTTGCTATGCAAATAACATGTGAAGAGCATCAAAAGGTATCAGGAGAAAAGAAGACAAGAGGAGCAGGAAGGGCAGCAAAGTTTTGTTGAAGTAGCCCTAGATCTCACTACCGGCCCCCAGCCAAGTTGAATTGCAGCAGGAGAAAATTTTGGCAGCTTTTCCTCGGAGGCAGAGCACACTGACGTCAGTGTGCAGATGTGCCGGGCTGCGTCGGGTGCGCATGTGTCCTGGGTCGTCACGTGGAGGGGGAGGGGAGGTAGAGGTACAATCGGGGTAACCGACTACCAGCCATTCAGAAGGGTTTAGACAATGTCAACTTTTTCACCCTGTGAATGAGGGAAATTCTGGCCCTTCTAACCTCAATCCCCTGCCCCACTCCGCCCCCTGTCCTCCTCCTTCTCTAACCTCTTTTATAAATTCTAGCCTGGTTTGTGATCAGTTTCTTGTAAAAAGGAAGACGGAGGGAGAGGATGAATGACTAGATGAACTAATGTCACTGTTAATTTAAGATCTCTGGTGTTCTCCGTGTATTCCTTTTTTTAAGCCCACACAACAAAAATATTATAAGTTGCATATAAAGTATCTTTGAGGAAACTTACAGCAACTTAAATCAGTGGCAGATTTCAGAACTCAGTAACTACATGTGCACAAAACGCCTGTGTTTTTGAATATACCTCAATAAGTAAAATTGCCACCAAAAGGGAGAGTATACTAAAGAAAACTAGGACCAGCACATTTTCCATCTGATTACCGACTTACCGACTTCAGGTTACGTGGGGCTTTAAAAGGAAAAAAAAAAAGAAGAAGAAGAAGTGGGGGAGGAGGGAAACGGGGAAGAGAGAAGCTTGCATTATTTCCAGATGAGGGTGAGACTGGATGCTGTTTTAAAGTGCAACCGGGAAAAGCTACAAGTGGAGTGCATTTTTTTAAGTCAGTACATTGAATGAAACTTCGGTGACTGCCCAAATGAAAATAAATCCCATGTCGGATCCCAAAAGGGGGGGCGAGCAAGAGCCCTGCTGCCATCTCAAGATAAACAAACAAAAACCTCAAAACTGGTTTTTCAAGCTTTGCAATACAAATTCCCCCACCACCCTCCCACCACCACCACCACCACCACCATCAGCAGCAGCAGCAGCTGCCAGTCCATAGTTTAAGGATAAAACACCGCTACAACGTAGCACTTTCACTTTCCTTTGCTGGGAGAAAGCCACTGGTATTAAACTGCGGGGGAAATGCCCAAATATGTTTCCCATGTCCTAAGCAAGCAAACAAAATCTGGTACACAAATCGGAAACAGGAAAAAATGTGAAAATAGCTCAGGATAAATGTTGCCTTTCAGCTGTGTAATCTGCTGCATCATTTATCTGTCTCTACCACTGAGTGTAGGGTAGGGAAAAGTTTAAGTTACCGCGGTTGGGGGATGGGGGGGAGGGCAGGGGGGAGGCGGGAATTGAAGCCTTGAAATTTCAGTCCGTAGTTAACGCCAAGTCAATTTCCGATGGCCAAAACCAGAAAAGGGAATTGGACCGGAGGGAAGGGGATGGGGAGGAGGACCTTTCTGAATACTGGCTCTTAAGTTCCAAGCTTCTGCTAACATTATTGCTCATCTGACTTTTTTTTCTTCCTACACCGGAGGTAGTAGGTGTAATTCTTCTGGTGAATACATGAATAGTTGGCTAAAAGAAGGCATGAATCAGACTAAGAACGTCCAAGAATACAGTTATTTCCATTCTTTTTGGAAGGTTGAAAGGGTAAAGCATGTGTCCACAGTCAATAGTCCTCATCTTGACCTTAATCAGTAGTAGTTGGCTCTATGCCATTTAAAACGTAGAAATACACCCTGTGGTTGGCACTGACATTTTTAAATAAATACAATTCATATGGAAATTATATGTATATGTTTTTGCATTAAAATACATGAGATGGAGAATTTCCTAGCAAAAACTGTAAACACCAAATATAGACAAGTGGGCATAGAGCTGTTTTTGCACCAAACCACCCTTAAATAGTTGCAAACCTTATCCTTCATTTTTCAAAAAGTGGTAGTAGATAGACACAGCCAGCACAGAAAACTAAAGTAAAGGTATAAGTATAGCTATCTGAAAGTTTTTACTCTCAATTAAGATAAAACTGCCCTAGGAAATAAGCCTTAGAGTGAGAAGCGGGCTTCAGATAATTACTTATTCAAAGAGTGCCATCATGCGTTTAAACAGAGTAATGACAATTTTCCAACATTCCTTTTCTCCTCCAAACGACTGTAAGAAAAACTGAAAAATTATTAGCATGAGAAACGAAGTATCAATTTAACTTTACACAGATTGTATGTGTACACTGTAATTGCATTACAGGAAAATTCAAACACACACAGAAGTAGAAAAATAGTAATGTACTCCATTGTGTCCATCATCCAGTTTCGACAAGTTACAAAACGACTGATTTTTTTCCCCACTATTTGCTCCACCTTACTGGATTATCTCGAAACCAATTCCAAATAACATTTCATCGCATCCATTAAATATTCACCTATATTTCTAAAATACAAAGACTGAAAAAATAGGCGCTATTAAACCACTAATGCTCTTGAAACATTAATAATTCTTTAATTTCAGCAAATATTAGATATCCTCAATTGCAAATAAAGGCCTTTAAAAAAACCTCTGTCTTAGGATCAGGATCCATATATTACATTAGGTTAATCTATCACTTATGTTTCTTTCTTTAAAACTTTTTACTGAAGTAGAATATTCATCTAGAAAACTACGTAAACATGGAACTTGATGAAAAGTGTTCAATCTAATGAATTTTCACAAAGTGAACCTGCCAGTGTAACTATGTAAAGAACTCTTCTACTGTATTGGTTCCCTGTTATTACTTCTTTATCTTGTAATGTACATGTTATATTAATATCTTGTCATATTAATACTGTAAATAGCATTTCCCTTAGCATGGAAGTGTTTTAGTGCAATACCCATACATTATTTATTAACTGAATTATATGAGACAAATTTAAGTTAAACCCTGAGTGACTATAAGTTGCAGTAGACATTAAAAAAATTTTTTATGATGAAAACTTTATTCTTTGAAAAATTTTCCCTCCAGCGTTCCTTTTTTTCTGTTTAATTAAGAAATGAAGATTATAAGGCACAATAGAGTTGTTAGCAAAACCCCTACCCATCTAAAATAAAGCTCTGCTTTTAGAAGCCTAATAAACCTAAGTGAACAGGGCTCTTTCAGGAAATCAGGTGGAATAAATAGAAATTTGGGAGCAAAAGGAATTTGTATGTACGTATGCATGCATGCATGTGTCTATGTATTTCAGAGACTGAAAAACAGGAACATCAGCGGAAGAGTTTGAGAGCCAAAGAATAAGGACTGGGGAACTTTCACAAATAAGAATATACTTCTAACTTGCAATTCTAAATATATTATCATGTAAATTTAATTTTTGATAGTTAAAAATCAAGGCATTTCTTAAAATTCAACTGTTTGCTTATATTTTCAGAAAAATAAGTTGAGGAATTCTGATTTTATTCTTGCTTGGAATTATTAAATTATAGAAGGTGACTCTCTCTTAAGATGATGAATTTTGAATTCTACCTTCCAGACAAAAAACCAGAATCAACATGTTAGAACCAAATTCCATACACTTTCTCCAATACATTTTATTCTTTCAACGAGATTAGACTTAAATTTGATAAATAGTGAAAATAAATGTTTTCTAGCTTTCTGAAAGATTATTGTAGGATTTCTTAAATAAGGTGCAGAGGCTCAAAGCAAAGAGGAAAATACTGGTAAGTTTAACTTCATAAAAGTAAATTTAAAAAATCATTAAATGGTAAAAAATAAGCCAGAGATTAGGAGCTAGAATTTACATGTACAACTGAAACATAATAAATATTGAGACTATTGAAAGAACTCTCCCAAGTCTATAAGAGACAGGCCAAAAAATTCAAAATAGGAAAAAGCATAAATAGGAAAGTCACTGGAGAAAAAAGCTAATGACCAATAAAAGAAGAACAATGTGTCCCATCATTCTGGCAATCTTAGAAGTGTAAATGTTTCTCTCTCATCAGAGGGCCAAAAATGTTAGAATTTGGTAACAAATATTAGGGAGGATTGGGAAAACTGGACATATGATACACTGTTGATGGAAGTATAAATTAAGTGCTAACACCATGGAGAGCAATTTGGCAATATCTAACAAAGGGGAAGATGTTCATAATCTTTGACTTGGCCATTCTACTTTTAAGTATATAACCTTAAGACATTCTTGCACATGAGAATTCCCACTAATAATTTTGGCAACACTATTGTAGCAGTGAATAACTGGAAGCAACCTAAATAATTATCAGTGGGGAAATAAATAAATTGTAATCTATTCTTACACTTTACTGCTATATAAATACTAAATGATGGACTAAATCTATACTGCATCAACCCAGATAAATTATATAACATTAAGTTGAAATGCTGCAATAGGATACACTATGATTCAAACTGGAATAGGTGTATATAATATCATTTATGTAAATTTTTTATAGCACACAAAATTTATCTTAAATTTACAAAAGTATGCATAGGAAGAACAGATAGTAGCTCGAAGATCGCAGTTAGCTGAGGGAGAAAGAATAGAAAATGGGATTAAGGAAAGGCACAAAATGAGCATCAACTAAATTTGTAATATTTTGTTTGAAAAACAAAACAACCTGACTTGTTATCATAAAATGTTAACATTTGCTAATTTAAGCTAATGAGGGCACATGGGTATCTATTATTTTAATCCCTGTATAGTTGGAATAATTTACAATTTTACAAAAACAACAACAAAGTTATTGTTATTTGTTACAACACGTTATCTTGCAATTTTAGAAAGACTTTTATACTTTAAGTTTGCAATTAGCAATATAATGATATTACAGGTGAGCAAAACTAACTGAAATTAGATTGAGCTCATAATTTCAGTCTACATAAAATTTTCAACCATGTATAGTGGCAAATGTTTCATTTTAATGTCTCTTTCCTTTTTCACTTTTTATAAGAGTATGAAATCAAAAGCAGGAAGGAAAAAAAACTTGAGAAGATGGGTATAATCAATGATTTATAAATACACTATACAAATAATAACTAATACTCAAAAGGG